ATCAGTTATTTTCACAATACATTAACAGATAAAATGCTGCAGGGAAAAGTTGCAGCAGTGTGAGCTATCCCATCTTAGCTCCACTCAAGCCAACTGATTGCTTCACATGCGTCTTAGCTTGTCACATCATCAGCAGCTGGTTTTAAAGTACAATGCCTATTACCTGTTTCAACAGCCAGTTGGCTTGCAGCAGAGTCAGCTGATCAAGTCAGTTACAAACTGTAGGCAGACAGTGTCTTTGCTTGCTGTGGCATTCTCTGACAGCCCTTTGTCCCCGCTGAGCCCAAGTCCATCTCATTTATCCTCACGACTGTTGATGTGAATGCCATTCTCTCTCCTTATGGTGTGTCTGTGTCGGACAGAGGGTTGCTGCTGCTGCTCACTGCATGTGTGCATGTCAAACACACAAAATTAAAAAAAAAAAAAAAAAATGTAATATTCGGTCATTACTTGTACCTAAAAAGCAGGAAGTTGAAACGAAAGCACAGAGAGTTGCTGCTTGTCCAGTTGCATTGATGTAAACTGGCAGGTTTTCAGAATGCTGCAGACTGTAAAAAGTTGCAAGTTTCAACTCCTCAAAGAGTAATTCTTGCGATTACACGAGACAGTTACCAAAAAGACAGGCTTTTACAACACATTTTACCTTGTGTTTGTCAGGAAATCTTGTACAGTGCTTTACAACACAAAACATAAACATGTTCCTCCAGTGAAAATGATGCTAAATTTCAGTTTTTGTCAATAACATATGGTGAATCGAAGTGAGATTAGCAGGATCATAATCTGCTCTCTTGGATAAGTATGTTAACATGTGCAAGGGATTTAACTCCAGTTTGTAGTGGCTCTCAGCGTACACACACACACACACAGTACCAGCAGCTGTTTTTAGGAGATATAGAAGATAGATTAGCACCACCTTTTTCACTACTACCTTTTATACATGCTGCAGACTGCTACACTTTTTTTTAAACTTCTTACATTCTGCTTGTGCTAATTTTTCTCTCCACCACCAACACAGTTCACTCCTGTCTCTCACTTACAAATTTTTTCTTTCTTAATCATAAATTCAGTGACATTTGTGTGCTCTTGGTTCTGGTACTTCATGGGGTCTGTGTCGGGCTCCCCATCTTGAGCATGTGCTGTGATTTATTCAAGATTTAAAGCCTGTACAGCCAAATACAATCATTAAACTATGCTATGGGTTACTCTATGATTATAGTTTCTGACTGAACCTAAGCTACTGTTTAGCTTAGCTGCTGTTATTTGTTTACTGTTTGTCTGTCCCTCTTTCTCTTTCTCTCATTCTGACTCATTACTCTCTCTCAGGTTAACTTCACTCTGGTGGCAGGCAACATGGAGGATGTATTCCAGATCAAAACCGTGAACCACACTTATGGGGAGGTTTATGTCAATGCTCCTCTGGACAGAGAGTCAGTAGACCGCTACCTACTGAAGGTCAGGCAACAATCCACATGCAGTCATGATATCATTCACCACATATCTATATGGCCATACACACATTCTACATTAAACCTTAACCCTGATCTGCTGTCTAACCTCAGCCTAATTATAAGCTGATCTGCTGATGTTTGAACTGATCTGATCATGTCAAAAAGCTGGGACACTGTGTAAAACTTAAAAAAAACAAAAACAAAAAAAAACAGAATGCGATGATTTCCAAATTCTTTTTGACCCATATTCAACTGAATACAGTCACCAAAGGCAATATATAATGCTCAAACTAATACACTTTGTTGTTTTTTGTAAATATACACTCGATCTGAAATGATGCCTGCAACACGTTCCAAAAAAGTTGGGACAGGGGCATGTTTACCACTGTGTCACATCACCTTTTCTTTTAACAGCACTCAGTAAGCATTTGGGAACTGAGGATACTAGCTGTTGAATTTTTTAAAGTGATTTTTTTTTTTCCATTCTTGTATAATATATGACTTCAGTCACTCAATAGTCTGGGTTCTCTGTAGTTGTATTTTGTGCTCCAGAATGCGCCACACATTTTTAATGGGAGACAGGTCTGGACTGCAGGCGCAACAGTCTAGTAGCTGCAGCCTTTGACTACAAAGCCATGCTGTTGTAATACGTGCAGAATGTGTCTCATTGTCTTGCTTGAATAAGCAGGGACGTCCCTGAAAAAAGATATTGTCTGGATTGCAGCACATGTTGCTCCAAAACCCTATGTACCTTTCAGCATTCATGGTGCCGTCACAGATGTGTAAGTTACCCATGATGCCATGTGCACTAACACACCCCCATACCCCGCTTTTGAACTTTGAGCTGGTAACAGTCTGAATGGTCCTTTTCCTCTTTAGCCCTGCGGACAAAACGTCCATGATTTCTAAAAACAATGTGAGATGTAGACTCGTCAGACCACAGCACACTTTTCGACCATGTGTGAGTCCATCTCAGATGAGCTCAGGCCCCCAAGAAGTTGGTGAAGTTTCTTGATGTTGTTAATAAATGGCTTTCATTCTGCATGGTGGAGTCTTAACTTGCATTTGTAGATGCAGCGACAAACTGTGTTTACCGACAATGATTTGCAAAGTGTTCTCGAGCCCCTGCAGTAATATCCTTTATTAAATCATGTTGGTTTTTAATGCAGTGCTGTCTGATGGATCAGAGGGCACGGGCATTTAATGTTGGTTTTCAACCTTGCCCCTTATGTGCAGAGATTTCTCCAGATTTTCTGGATCTCTTGATATTATGGATTGTAGATGAAGAAATCCCTAAAGTTCTTGCAATGGTTTGTTGAGAGAAGTTGTTTTTGAACTGTAGGACTATTTGCTCACACAGTTTTTCGGCAAGTGACCACTCTTGCTAATTAACAACTGAGCCTTTCTAGGATGCTCCTGTCATACCCAGTCATGATACTTTATTCTGGTACCAATTGTCCTGTTTCTTTGAGGAATGTTCCAAACAATTTTTGAGCATCCCACAGCTTTGAGTCTTTTCTTGACCCTGTCCCAACGTTTTTGAAACATATTTCAGTCATCAAATTAAAACAAAACATCAGTTTGAAAAATGTACTAAATATATTGTCTTTGTACTGTATTCAATTGAATATAGACTGATAAAGATTAACAGATTATTGCATTCTTTTTTATTTACGTTTTACACAGTGTCCCACGTTGTTTGGAATCAGGGTTGTATTATGTCAACATCATATTTCAATTTCACTGCATCTTGCCTTACAACACAAGATACTGCACAGATATACTAAGACTGAATGTTTGTCCCCTGTGCACTTTATTGCCATGGTCCAAATGCATGGTCAGACTTACATAATAGTATACACCTGTTCATGTGTATTTTGTTACAGGTGCGTGCCATTGACAATGGCTCACCTCCCAGACACTCAGACCTCTCTCTCACCATCAACATCCTGGATGTGAATGACAACGCACCTGTTATTGAAAGCCAGAGAGGCTACAACGTCAGCATAAGTGAGGTAGGATTGCACCCACAAATCACATGGAGCATGATGGGTATTTTGCCTTTTAATTGGCATGTGTGTGAATTTGCATTTGAAGCTGAACAATGTCAAGTACTGTTACAAGTGATGATTTTCAGTTTGCACCATATGTATCTATTCAGTCGCAGGTTTGTGTTTCTCCACGAACAATCAGCAGTGCTTCTTTTGTGATGTATTTTGTAGAATGTTGGGGGAGGTACGTCAGTGCTCCGTGTGGTAGCTACCGACCAAGACATCGGGCCCAACGCCATGCTGTTTTACTACATCACTGCCGGGAACCAGGACCTGACCTTCCGCATGGACCGTGTGACCGGAGAGATGGTGACACGGCCGGCCCCTCCCGACCGAGAGCGCCAACAACAGTATCGACTCACTGTCACTGTGGAGGATGATGGCACGCCACCTCTGTCGGTAAGATACAAGGAACAGCAGCTGCAATACATATAACACTGCAGAATATTTCTCAACATATCAAATAAACTGAAAAACTTCTATTTGCTGTTAAATCAAGGAACATTATTATGTCAGTGTTTTATATTATGATGAAATTATTTCTCTTCTAACACCTGTCTTCATGTAGCATAATTTTGTAACCTCTACAAAGGGTATAAATGTAATCTAAGCTGTTCATGGTGATTTGAAGTTGGCAGAGAGGTCATTTTGTGGATTCAGCATCTCATCTTATTACAGACCCCGCTTTTGGCCAGTGGTTCTACTACAAACAGTCATACCTGAAAGGTGTGCAATATTAGGGGATTCTGGGCATCTGTTTACTGCCTTTTTCTTTACCTGCCTTCAGGCAAGATACAGTACAAATCAGATATTATACACAGGAAGATCTTCTGTCTTCTTGTAACCTGCACAACAGTGAAATACAGTGGTTGGTTGATCTTCTGTATGAGCTGATCAGCTGTGAAAGCACAGGAAACACCTTCGTTTGTAAACAGGAAAACCACAAGTCATATTTCCACAAAGAGTAAGATGAGTGTTGTTGCTTTTCCTGTCTAACATTTAAAAGAACTTTGGTTTATGTGCACAGGCAGGAGATATGTACTGTATGTGTCACATGTGCATGCATTGCCACGTGACAGTCAGTTGGTTCACTGTATGTGGCCTGTATTTTTTTATTTTCAGCTTTGCTTGTCTAGGTCACAGTGACATATAGGCAGTACAACCCTATAAAAACATGGCTCCTGTTAATACAAGATCTAATAGCTAACCAAAGACTGTACAAATGAACTGGAGAGATGAAATGGCCAGCGATGGGCATCCCCTCCTCCCATCTAGCTCTCTGTCTACTCTCATAAAACAAGATACAAAGATTGTTTTATCATGTTCTCTCCTCAATGCCAGTCTCCCTCTGGTGTGCACCATCTTAGAGGCACACAACTGGAACAACCTTGTTCCGACTGTAATGGTTCCCTAGGCAGCAAGTGCAGCACGTCCTTGTGTAGTGATAGTTTTGGAGACCTGCCAGTTGAAAGGGACAATGATTTCAAGACTAGACACACGGCTTTAAGGTTTAAGAGCTCCACTTTATTACACAAGCAACAACCAAGAAAATTTAAAGGCAATATACAGAACGAACATGATCCACATCTATGTCAAATACAAGCTTTTTACTGTATAAAACAATCACATACATACAGATGCAAAACCATATGCCAGTGTGCACACACACCAGACCATAAAAATATTTTTGAAACTGTAACACAAGATTTAAAAACACACACAGGTAAAACAGGCACACTTAAAAACTACTTCTCCAAGTATTCAAATCTTAATAAAGTAAAATCATTTTACATAACAACATAATACCCTGTCCTTTTTACCTGCTACACATCATTTGGAGATGATTTCGGCTGAGCACCTGCTGTATACATTTTATCTCAACCTGAAAAAACCACCAGTGGTTTCTCACAATCACACAAAGCCTACTGTACGTATTAACAAGCTTCAAATCAACTGCAGTCACTTTCTTTCACTCTACCTTGAAATAATTTGGTGAACATTTCAGTGCCATTCCTCCACACATTTACACAAAGTATTTACTTATTTACATCCCATTGCACACACAAAAACAGGAATTAACACTTACCTACACTTCCTAATGATAAAATCAAGACAGTAAAAAAGACAAAATATTCAGGAAACAGTGTTGAGATGGCAGTGATTAAACTGTCTGTGGTTTTATGATGCTTTTTTTTTTTAATCTTTTTTTGTAACAGGATTAGGATACATTCAAAAGAAGATCAATAATCATCTTTTTTTCATTTACAAAACTGCACATGAGCATGAATGACATTCATGAACAACTATTATCAAAAATAACCTACTGTTTTTTTTTCTTCTTAATACTAACAGCACTTAATGAGTATATTTAAGGCCACTGTGAAGTGCTGCTTTTTTGAGAGTACAGGCAGGAAGGAGAGTATTTTGAGCAGCACAGCTGACAGTAACTGAGGTAGCAAAGAGGGAAGAGAAAAGAAGCCAAGGCCAAGTGGAAATGATACAGAGGAACAGTGTAATGCCATAAAAACAAATCACTCAACTTCAACAAGAATATTGAGACTCCTCTGACGATTGAGCCTCCTTTGTTATGAAGCTAATAAAGCACTTTATTACAATGGCAGGGATGAGATGAAGCCAGCCTTTGGTCGCTTTCCACCTGTGGTTCAGTTTAAAAAAAAAGGTACATTGTTGTCTTTCAGTTCAAGTCCATTTTGTGTTTCCACTGATTTATTACAATTGAAGTGAGACATGTTAACATAATGTCATATGGACTGACAGATGAGTCTTTTCACTAGACAGTTTTGGTGATTGTCATCCTTCATTATCAGTGCTACACAGTCAAAGAAGGGAAAATCAAAAACAAATTTAGCCCAGTGATAATATTTATCACTTGTTGACAGCTTGTTGCTGTCACAGTCTGGCTCGCTATATTGGACGCAAGAAACACACTCATGCGCTGACTTATACACCATGTCACCATGGTTACCAAATGATGTTTGCATCATCATATGGGAGATTGTTTCTATGACCAACTATCAGTAAATGGATCATGTAAATTTAATAGTTACCTTTTCAAAATTATTGTCATACAGTTTCTGTCACCTGCAGTTGGTCTGCTTTGCTTTCACTCCACAAACACACCACACCAGAGTTAGACTGGAAGTGCACAGAAACCAGGCGGTGGAAGTGCAGTTCTTTGGTCCACACCAAGGTTCAAATTACAGAGTGCATACCAGCTTAAATGACCCAAAAAACAAGCAAATACACCGTTGTTAATTTGCACTGCACTCAACAACTGGCGTGTAAAAGCAGTCCTCGAGTCCACAGGCACTGTTTATCACTCAACATGTCCCCCTGCACATGGAGGGACCCCCGCCCTTAACACTCTGGATTCTTCTCAAGCAGTGGGTAGTTGTTGGTCCACGAGTCATTGTCAGCGTGTAGATGGAACATCACACACAAACGCCCCCACCACAACACAAGTGCACACAAGCTAAAAGTTTGCCTTTGGCCTCCAGCTGTTGTTGCAGGTGGAAATAGTTTTTGAATAAAAAAAAACACAGTCCATTCCCTCCCGCGGTCCAGACAATGTACAGACGACAATTCCAGCAGAGGTTATTGTGAGAGAGCTGATGAGGGCAACATCGCTCTGGAGGCAGAAAGAAGAGGGAAAGAGTTGCAGGACTGTTTCCAGGTCAGCAGTTAGAGCAATGAACAAGGTTCCAATCCCTTTTAAACCTGCAGGAAGTCTGGAGACTCAGGGATGGTGTCTGGAATAAAGAATATTGAAGGTCAGTGACAGCATAGAAAAGATAGCAGGTAATCTACATGCATCAACCTGCACAAATGCACATTTCATGTCTGAGTGCTGGCATGTAGAAATGTAGACATGAGGGAGTTAACACACTCAAAATTGCACTTCCTGCCCAAAATGTAGATCTTGTCAAAGACATGCGTCGGCATTTCTTTTTCCAAACCTCCTACTCCATAGAATTGGGTACACACACACGCAGAGACTGATAGATTTCTCAGAATAAGAAGTGTTTAGCTGTAAACTCATTAAAAAGCAGAACAAAAAGGCGTCAAGTCTGAGTTGCGACATGTTGAAGATAAGAGGGAACTGCTGCTAGTTAAATTCCACTCAGCTGAAGGTCAACGGGCCATAAAGATGAACAAGGAAGCTGATGTGTGGCTTTTATTCACGTAACACGAAACAACTGACAAGAAACCAGGCAGTATATTCTGCATAACTTTTGTAGACCACTGAAGGAAATCAGCTCTGACGGGGAAATCCACTTTTTTTTTCTTGGATTTGTGATGGTTTTATCAATATTTGTGGCACTCTCCGGAGGAGGAGCAAAGCTGTAATCTGAGAGCTGTAACCAAGCATATTCCATCTGTCACTTATTGTAAGCACAGAGATTTTCCCACTAGTGACATTATTTACTATCAGAATACCATTTCAGCACATAGGATAAAACTGCAGCATCTCAATAAGGACTCATTTAGTGTGGGCAGTCTAGTTTTACGTCATGTGTATGCTTGTCAGGTCTCACATACAGTATAACGTTAGTGAACGAGCTTCAGCAAGTGTTTCTGACACCTGTCTGTGTTTACACACTCAACTGTTCAAGGTCATAGGAATAACATATGTGATGGTTTGGGTGGATTTCAGTAAGTCTGCTTCTTTCCTTTCCCCTGCACCATCATAGACTGTGCTGCCAGGAAACGGGGCAATCCACCTCAGTATGCCTGGAATGTCGGCACAGGTGCCCCGGGAATCGGTAGAAAAACACTCAGGATTGAACCCCTTCACCGTAACTAATGTTTCAGTATTATTTCAAGTCGAGTCAGAGAGAACGGCTGAAGGGGCCATTAGTGTTAAATGAGAGTGCTGATGGGTGGAGAATGACTTGCGAGGGAGGCAAGAGAAGAATTCAGAGGATGACAGCATAAGGAGGTGGTTTCAGTCGTGCGGGGGACAGAAATTAAACTCCTTACACTGAATTTTTTTTTTAGTCACATCAGACTCAACACAGCTGTTTTTGAGCGTGAGCATGCAATTTTGCACAAGAATGTGAGCATCTTTCCGCCAACACTTCCACCACACGCAGGATGTTGCAGCAGAAGCACGCAAAACCATGGTTGTTCTGTGATTGCATCAGAGCTTTTTGACATACTATCTGTAGATTTTAAAATAGGTATTTCCAGAACTATGTCCTTGTGCAACACAGTTGCGTGCCTCTTTTTAAAGGGACAGTTCACCCCCATGTTTTTCCTCTTACCTGTAGTGATTCTTATGAGGCTAAATTCCTTTGGTGAAAGTTGCAGAGTGTTGGAGATACCAGCAGTAGAGATGTCTGACTTATCATTTTCTCTACTTTAAGCAGCCAGAGTTAGGCAAAGATTATAAATTTAACACCACCAGATAAGGGGGCTGGCCACCAATCTTATCAGACGATATTCATTCTAAATAGTCTGAAGGCCGATCAGAAGAGCCAATCAAATGACACAAAACACGTGAGACAATTTCTTTACACACCGTTATAATAGCTTGGAATCACAGGGTTGAATAGAGAAAACCTGAGGCAATTGTAACAATTTTTGGTGTTGATGTAATCACTCAAAAATCGCTTTAACTACTTGGATAAATTTTTTAACAATCATCAATTGCTCTAACAAGCAGTGTTAGAGTCAAAATATTTATTGAAACACTAGTTGTCAAATGTTACAGCATATGGGGTATGGGAAGCATTTTATTAAGCCTAATTCGACATCTATAAATGTGTACAAGTATGCGTATTAAGTCCTTCTTGTGCCAGGGAATGCACTAAATACCTTGCGGCTACACAAGATAAAACTCAACACTGCTCGAAAGAGAAACCCAGTAATGGAACTAGATGGCACTGACCCACAGACCTTGTTGTGAGTGGTTTCATGTAGGAACTATGTTCTTTCTATGGAACTACACCCGCCACCCATATCACTGCACAAAAGGAAACGTGCATCCACTACTAGCTGACCTAGCACCATTGCCCTAGGTGCACAACCTAACGCACTGACGGATTGACGCTGACCGGAAGTTATTCATTTCAGTGGAGGTGAAAATGACGGATAGTAACGGACTAGCGCGCAGCACAGCAGTGGTTCCGCTGACCATTGGGCTGTGAAGCCGTTAGATTTTTCCTACTCAGGCGTTGACAACATGGGAGAAAGTAGCATTACGGTGCCAGAAGTAGGAAATAAATTGCAATCGCAGTTGTAAACAAACAATATCTCATTAATTTATGAAAAAAATAAATAAATAAAAATAAGCATAAGCTTTTTTTTCCACTATTAAAAGTGATTGTTGACCATAGGTTGATTTCTGTGCGGTTGATAATTAATCTATATTTTCAAATTTTGCGCTGATTTCCATAGCCCAATTCACGCCTATATATCAGCTCTTTCAATAGTACACTACTCAACTCGTCTCTGTTCAGTTGGTACAGTGACAGTCAACATGAGAGATCTTCGCAGGAAGATATTGCTAACTCTTCTGCTAGATGACTTCGCTAACAGCTCTCACCAACAGCATGCTAGCTAGCCGCCCGCATCTGGCCAGGTCTGTCAACGATGGAACCTCACAGCATTGTTCTGGGGGTAGGGAATGCATTGGAGAAACGCTCCGTTAAAACAGGAAAAATAGGTTGTGCACCCGGCGTTGAGCTAGCTAACATTCCAGCTCAGCGGAAGACATCATTAATGTTTACATCTCGCTCTGTCAGAGGCTAGAGCCTCTCGTCCATGAGTAGATGCATGCTTCCTTCTGTGCTGTGATACAGTTGGCAGTAGTAGTTTGGTAGAAAGAAAATAGTTCCTTAATGAAACTGCTCACAACAAGGTCTGTGGATTATCTTGAATAGCTGGGTCATGATTTCTGGAAAAAGACATTGCTGTTGAGTTTTATTAATGTATTTTTTGGCACTTTGAGCACCACAAGCTGAGTGTCATCTAGTTCCATTATATTAGAGAGAAGGCAGACATCTCTGTGGCCGATATCTCCAACACTCTGCAACTCACACCAAAGATTGATAAATTGAACTACAGGTAAGAGGAAAAATGTAATTTAGATTTTGGGGTGAACTGTCCCTTTTAAGTTCTTTTGTACATCGTTTGAGAATTCAACAAGAAGGGAGTCAGATGTAGGCACTCAGGATGCAGTTAATGAGACATGACCTACCAGTGCCCACCCACTCCTAAACTGAAAGACACCCTCTTAGTCATGTAAATGAACTCCCTTCCCATTTCGTGTTACAGTGCTGGTCAGAGCCAGCCTAAAGGGCAAAAGCTGAGCAAAATGTAGAATTGGTTGGATAATTGTATGTCGCAGCCAGTCCTGAGTAATAAATGTTATTCATATTGTTTGATGAGCTTGTATAAATTTCTCTCTTAGTCGATAGTATGATTCAGTCAGTCTAGTATGATTTTCTGATGTGTTGTCAGGAGGTATAGTTTTGTGTGTGTGTCCTACCTTCTATTGGGAAGAATACATCCCCGTGTGCAGGAGGAGAGAGGGGGGTTCCTGGCTCAGACAACAGGTGGCGTCCTGTCTCTGAAGATTGCCTGGTCATGATCTGTGAAACGGTACGAGTCTTAATCCGAGGTGATTCTCCAAGAAACACAGGGTTCTCGTGGCCATGAGCCTCACTGAAAACGCACACGTAGACACAAGAAAGGGAAGCATACTGATGAGTAAGACATTGCTTATTTCACCCAATAAACTGTTTCAACACTCATCGTGTTTCTTAAAAAGTTAGACGCTTTATGTGTCATGTTTACATTCTAGCAGTAATAAGGACTTAATATATAATAATACTTTAATGCAGTTATAATACTACACCAAACTGGTTTGACATTGATTTTGCACATACACATGAATTGCCAATGGAGCAGTCTCCCTTTGTGCTATTACGTGATCGAATAGATTTCCCACAAGATACATTGCAGTGGCACACAACTTAACATAAAGTGTAAAGGCAAGTAAAGGCTGCCACTGTACTGGACATGCAATGATTCATTCCTGTTTTAAAGCTATTTATTACACAGCTTTTTTGAATACCCGATTCTGATTGGTCAATTACAACATTCTAAGGTCTGCTATTTCTGAAGAGCGGGCTGCTGCTGTGAATCACAGATCATTGCAATGGATGCAGATCAGATCAGATGCTTAGCAGAAGCAATTTTTTAAATTAACATTTTGTGTCAGATTATTGACTTGTTTAGTAAGCAGCCACGTAATAAGCAGAATAATGTAGAGCTAGCTGGTCAGTATTGCGAAATCAACACAGACAGGATGATGTAGGACTGGTCATGAGTCAGATTGCATTTCGCAATAATGGTTACTGCGCTTACTGTGCATTATCCCTTAGCAAATAAAAGTTTATGGGAATTATCTTCAGAGCTTTAACACATTTGGGTCTACTCTACCTCTTGTGTGAGAAACATGGTCATAGAAATAGAATGAGAAGGGTTTTTTTTAATCTGTGGTTGTGGCCAACACAGTGGGATATCCATGTACACAGCATTATTATTCTAAAGAGCAGCTGTGTTTTGAAGCTGGCCTATGAGACCAGCTGCCTGACAGAGTGTGGGAAAACTTACCTGTCCATCCTCACCAGCTCTTGTGCACCTGGAAGAAAGGAAACGGGAAATGGGCCATTGTGAATGAATTGAAACAGAGCGGAACACTACAGATAGAGTGTGAATGTGCTTCCCTACTGTGTGAAATACAGTTAATCCTCCTCACAGACAGGAAATATGTGTCAGACAAAACACTATGGGGACACATTTGTGTTTGACCCATAGCGTGTGTGTTTGTGTGTGTGTGTGTGTGTGTGTGTGTGCCTGTTTGTGTATATCAGTAATACGTACGTCTGCTTGACTGGGCGCTATGCCTCTGTTTGTAAACGAGCACCAGAATAAGAGGCAGAGAAAGCAGAGCCAAGATGCAGGCTGCTATGGCCAAGGCCACTGGCACAGAGCCTGGGGAAGCAACAGAGAGACTGTGAGTTAAACAAACAGAGTAACCCGCCAGTCATTCATTTGCTATGAAGGCTTGAATAAGGTGACATACCTCCAGGTGGTGTGGGATCCCAAACGGTGCAGTTTTGAGGTCCATTTCTCCCTGGAAAGAGAACAAATACATTGTTTCTCACATACAGGATATCACAATGTGGGATTGGTTTGGGTTTCTGCCTGTTAAATGCAACAGTTACCACACTAACCACATCACTAACCATCATCATCACATGCACATGAGTGTAAACTACAATGAGCATGCATAGACCTCATTACATAGAATTTGGGAAGCTTGTCCTGCAAAGCAACTTGCAAAAGACAATATGATTGATTTAGGTTAACTTCCCCTGCCAGTTTACTATATGCTAACTTACTTGGCATTCATTCCTTTGATGTACTTACGGGGCGTAACGTGTAGGATAACATGGCTGTGGGGTCTCTGCACAAGGGCGCCGTGTTTATGCTCCACCTGGAAGTCTAGGATCATACAGCAGTAGCGACCCTGGTCACCGTGGGTCACATTCTGCAGAATCACCCAGAAGCTCTGCTCTCCAAATCCATACTGCAACCCTGGCGGCAAGCTTTGGTTGCCATGGGAATGACCAATGACAGTATGGCGTGGGCCCGTCCGTCCCGTACAGTGCTGATCACTGTGGGGCGTGAAAAGCCAGCTGTGCTTCAAGACATCATTGGTGTGCAAGGCGGCACCTCTCTGGCCACACACCAGTTTGGCAGTTGCACCCTCGGGACAGGTGTAGTACAGGTGTGGGGCTGCAACACCAAGTGTGGAGTGGCCGTGGGACATCTCGCCTTTACCTGGAGAGAATGTAATGTAGGTGACAAATAGAACTTTTTTTTATTGGTTAGATCTTTAAGATAGTCCTTCCTCCTTGACTGTGTACCATCACACACAGGCTTTACTAATCAAAGTTTTTAGGTTAGAGATAATAACATTTTGGGTTGTGGCTGGAAGGAGTGGGATTTTTATTCAGTAGAAATTACAGGAAGTGTCTGAGAAGCTTAACCCCAGGAGCAGAAATCCCCTCTATATATGAGATGACCAAAAAAATTACAGGGGAAAGAATTGAGTATGTTTAGTAAAAATATAACAAGTCACATGTTTACTCTGATGGCAGTGGCAGCAACTTTTTCCAAGGTACAGAATCCAGAGGATTTATATTCAGAAACTGCATGAAACATAACATATAACCATAACAAAACTGTTCCTTGGTAAATTCCAGTTCTCTTTCATTTACCTGGAAACAGGAGATTAAAGTTCTGTAAAGGTATAGCCCTGATGTAAGAGATCCAAACATATTCAAACAGGAAATTGCTTGGTAAATCACATTTCTGTTCAAATGATTTGGTAGCTTAAGTTAAGTGGGATGAAGCTTGGTACAACCAGTCACAACACAAATAACCACAGTGCAAAAACAAATTATAGCAACTACCAATCTCAACATGGATTTGAAGTCAAAGTCAGACAATTTTTTCCAGGCCCTATTTCTGCACTCTACATGCGTCCTGGTTTTTATGCATTTTTTGGTCAGCACAGTTTGTTTCCTGTTCTGTAAATTCGTACTGTGGTTACAGATAGTCCGTAGTCTGCCGGCGAAAGTAAATACACTAGCCTCCTGTGGGAGTTAAATTGCCTGTTCCTCTCAGACAGTCGGAGAGAGATAGTAGCCAATATATACACAGTCTCATGCGACATCAAGTGCAGAAATCTGACTGATGCTTTGCTCTGATCAATGTCGGCAATACACACTGACTGCTGCTGTGGAAACTGTGCACTGACACAGATTCTCCACACATACCTTTCATGTACATTCAGGAAACCAAAAAGACAGCTGTGCGATGTGTCTTTACATATTGCATGAACTTTTTTTTCCCTGTCTAACTTTCACATACTGCCTTAAACCACATCCTGTTCTGACTTCTTTAGTGGAGCAGAATGCAGCAATAGATGAACTCTTTAATGTGTGCTCTGAATGATTATTTCATTGCACTACAAAACAAACACATCCTCAGGCTATGCAGTCTGAAGCCAATCTCTAAACCTTACAAAAAACAATGCAGACACATCATAATCTACACAATGCCCTTACAATACTACACAGCCATAGTGCAGCATCAATACACATAATGAATTACTCCCATATATTCAGCATGTAAAACAACAGGACAACTCTGTCGCTGTCTGGCTTTGTCTGCTTAAACAGATCACTACCATCCTTTGTCTGTAACAGATTGTGGTTTAGCATCCAAGAATGCTTAGCGCTGCAAAGAAGACAGGAAGGCTGCATGTGAGTGTGAATTACAAGTATGTGTGGGGGTGGACTCCGGTGAAAGAGGAGCATGCATGCAAGTGTGTATTGTTGCAGATGCACCATGGAACAGATATTTTGCATTAAAATCTGTGCATGTGTGTTAGGAGGGTGACTGGTGGGTGCCAGAATTTGAGGAGTGGACTTCCTTCCTGAGTTGTCCCGGCACGCAAACGCAGCTCCCACTCGTCCTCCTCTCTGGCTCCTTACTACTCACTAATTTGAAAGTCTGCAGCTGCTGCTGTCTTTATGGGCTGATAATTTCAAACAGGCTGCTCATTTACCCACACTCCAATCAGTAATGATGTCACTGCAGGTGTTTTCCATCTGCCGTCAAAGGCAAAACACATGCTGTTACATCACAGATTGGATGGCAACATGCTTAAAACTGTAATCCCTTAGACAGCAGTGGGGCAACAGCTTTTATAATTCACTCTCAATTCAACTATGAACTAACTACTGGGTATTTTGTGCACTACCACTATTTTCCTGAGGGGGCAGCAGATGCAACATTTTTTTTGAATATAAATGAGGAAGCACATAAATTATTTTACACAAAATGTCTCTGCTGGATAGAAAATACAGTAGCTGACCACACAGCGACCTTTACCATTTGATTAGCTGTGCATGTTTGTATATTTAGTGTGTGTGCATCCTGTGTATGTGTCACACACTGTGAGGTCTGTGCCACGTTCCTGTGTGTGTGACTGACCTGTGCAATACCCATTGTGTGGCAGGAAAAGCAATAGGAAGATAAGGGAGGGTGATTTAAGTGAAACTGTTGCCGCCGTGGCTGTTCTGGCCTGCATGGTGGGACAATAGGAGGGGAAGCCCTTCTCCTCTCCTGTTTCACACCCGCCCTGCCTTCCTCCCTGCCCTTCTTTTTGACAACCTTTCCCCAGTTTCTTTAGCCCCATTTTACACCAGGGAAGACAGATTTTTGGCAAACTTTTTGTCGTGAAATGTGTTTAATATACATTTATGTCTGACTTCTGCTTGACCGAGAGCCATGTTTAACAGTGGGTTGCCAGCTAGGAAACACTTCTACACCCATCTGATATATTTTAGGTATGGCTTACTAACAAGACCAGACCCTCCTAAAATGGCCTGAGGCAGTGAATATTTTAATTTTTATGATGTTCTGAGCCAATTGGGTGGTGTTACCACAGTGTCAGCATTATCTGAGCTGCCTTGATGTGGTTGCGTTAAGGTAAAAGCTGACAGCAAGCTGTACCACATGTCTGCAACAGACAGGATTTCTTTCACTTGTACACTCCAGACATCTGTGTTTTGGCTCCATTATAGAATCTAAGTTTCCTTCACTGATCTCTGTTCTCAGGATCCTGATAGCCCCTCAGGGCCCAGAAACAGGCCCTCCTTTGTTTTAGGACTGAATGCCACCTGTTTAGGACATGTTGGCTCTGACAGCTTTCTTAAATTCAGACATGCAGCACACCCAATGTGAATTAATTAAACATGTCTTCATATTTATTTAAAATACCCTACGTTTAACCATTTAAACTGCTTTTCTGCTATTGTATATTTTATTCTTTTTCTGTATCGAGCAGGTGCTAACCCTAACCCACACTACTGATTACCCTACTAGTAAATCTGGTATGCTTTCACTTACAAAAGAAAACACAAACTCCACCCTCTTTCACACCTACTGTAATGGTAATGGCCATCCAGCTCATTACAGGGTGTTAATGAAACCAGCAGGAGGATCCAGATTAGCCCCTCCAAACACACACACACACACAGTGCGAGAGTTTCAGTTGAAGCTTCTAGCATAACAAACAGATGCATTAAGCACCCTTTCAGCAACAGGAAGTGCTAAAATGTGGCAATTCAGGCTCTAGTACCTAGTCCTAAAAGGAAGTGGTTATGGGTCAGTGACACAGGTCACCATGTTCAGGGATCAACCACATTTGATTATAGTCATTAACTGTGTCTGTTAAATTGTGAGCCACTTCGCTATAAACTTATTGGTACAAGAGCAATTTAAATAAAGGGCACACTCCGTCACAGTCTCAACCTTCCTCTTCTTCTTCCTCTAAATGTACTTCATGCCTTTAGTCATGTAACGATAGGGTTGTGTAATGACCACTTAATAAACATGATTACAACATCGTTTCTTCATTTATCTGTAGCAACAGTGCTGAAATATCATATTGAAAGTGAAGTGGGGCTTTTTGTACTTTTGAAACAGTGAACTTGCAATTATTACATAAATTAGACAGAGCAACTTAATTGTCATTTTACTTCTTCTCTCTTTTTTGGTCCTTTCTACTTTCTAAATTAAGGTGTTTTCCATACTGTGACTTTTGTGTTACACTGTTTCTGCCACGCTGAAAATATCTTAGATCTTTACTGACCTTGATGAATAAATAACTTGAACTTGAACTTTACCAAAGCACATTAGGTTGCTGTTTTTGTTGCTTTGACTAGAGGGTGAGTCAAGGCGCTATCAGTGACAGTCAATGCTGTATCCTTGGGCTGGTCAGACAGTCATCCTCACTAAAGTATGAAGGCCACCAGTGTTTGGGGATTTTTTTTCACTTGTCATACTCGCTGCATATCAAACATCAGACACCAAGATGTCAGCTAAAATTGCTCGTCAGACCTTTAAAAGGTGATACCCAGAAAAATCACAAAGAACAAGGGAGCTCCCCTCCCTCCTTTATCTTATTACTCACGCACATGCGGTTTGTGCCCACACAGCTGCTGCACATCAACACACTCTAACTGACAGTGTGTCCCTGGTCAGGCCTGTTCTTGTCAATGAGATTGACCCAGGGAACCATTTTTTATCACTGCACCCTAATAGCGATTTATTCATTTAGGAAGGCAATTGATGCTGGACACAAGCTCCGTCACATCAGGTGGAGAAAGTAGTGCAGACAGCAGCAGAGTGAGCAGTCACATCCTGCAGAGTTTATTGACCATTTTTGACTGTGCCATTGTGCTTCATAGGGAGCTACGTGCTTATCTGAGAGGAAAGGAGGCACTGATTATTGCTGTTTATCTCAAGTCATGTTTTGTGGAGGAGAAACCCATTATTGGCAGTGGCACAAACAGCTGTTTTCATCATAGGCTGTGAGGAAGGAAACATCCAAACAAAGAGGCATAACAGGGATGAAGGGAGGGCACTGTGGAGTCCTTAAGTTAGACTTTAGAGCTTTTTTAGGTCTTTTATTGAAGCCTCTGAGATTTATAGGCCTGTAAATAACATAAAAATACTGGGCTAAAAAATATACTTAAGATGAAGAGAGTTTTTTAATGAATGTCTTATATTCTACAAACATTTGAAAGCTTAGCATGTTCTGAACAATATGTTAAATTTTTTTGTGCAGGGTATGTCAGCCTAAAAGTTCAGTAAACATCACTAGTTGCTTTTGACGGACTTATCGCGTGAGCTTGTCTAAACAGCGCAAATCCTTAAGCCGAAAACTGATAACCTCTGCAAGGTTTCCGTGGCGTTTGAAGTGAAGCACCCTGCGCCCCGGAGGCAACAGCTGCTTCTCTCCTCCTGCGTCACTTGCCTAAACTTAAAGCAATGCCAAAGTCCTTGGTGGAAAAAAATGAATTTGATTAGCCTACATCTCCCACCATGACGCGGAATTTCGATAAAATGCAGCAATAACTTTTTCCAGTCAGGAGGTAACTTACTGGGGACCAAACTCACCCCGCACAGGCGCACACAGCTTGGGAAAGTTTACCTAATGTCACTTTGTGTCGTGTACATTTCCATTTTAAGACTCGCGAGTCTAAAAACGTCGGCGGCCGCGGTCCAGTTTGCGGCTATATGTTGTAAAGGGTGAGTATAAAGTGGATTTACACTTTACTACATCCCACGGGTGGGGCTTTAACACAGCTTCACACCAGATGTTCTGACTCAAAACAACAGCAGAGGCAGCAGCACACTAAGACCGGAAAGTTTAAAACAGGTCAAAATTGCGGTTTACCTAAAATGCACCACGGGTCTCCGTAGGCAAATCTTACCGGAATATCAAAGACAGTTTACGTCACGGCCACGAGAGGCTCATATAGTGGTCCATTTGCCTATTAAAAAAAGAAAACCTCTACAGCGTGACAACACAGGTTTAATGGTACATAGTATTATGGTATGGTTAATGGAAGACTGTCAAATAAGCTGAAGTTACAGGTTGTCACGTAGACATGATACCTATCTTTTGAACGCATCAAGTTCCTCATTAGAATTGACGTTAACACGTCATACTTCTGCTCGTACTTTTTCTTTTATTATTTGAAACTTACTACAACATTACTGCAGCTCACTTTTTTTCTGAGTCTCAGTTGACTTTGACAGACACTATTTTTCCCCAGTGAATTATACAATGGTTTGTTAACAAGTCCCCACACGCCGGGACAATTGGATGAGCCAGTTCAACACATCTGAATGGATGGTTGGGTGTCAAAGAGATTTTTTTTCATGCTTACCTCCAGCTATGTAAAACAAAACGTAGCAAAACCAAAACATGGACTTCTTTGCCCAGAGTGATGTCCGACAGGGTAATCCCCACTCCATGGTTGGCTGGATGTTGAGCAAAGATGAAAAAGCTGCAGAGCAATGTTTCACTCAGGCAATCATCAACTAACTACAGGGAGCCTTTGTTAAACCTTTTGTCCCTCCACTCTAATACTACATAAACTATCTCAAATTTACACCAAAGCACAGAGAGGTGGTTGACGGTCCCTTGTCACCCTGTCCCCAAGTTGACTTGATCTTTTTGAACTCTGCAGCGCATAAGCAACGTGATACACGGAGGCAACAGCTCCTCCCCCTGCTGCTGTCAGCCTCTCACACCCTCCCTCTGCCCCACCCCTGTAAGAATAGCAGTGATGAAGTATCAGTCAACAAGATATGTAGATACATAGTTAGTACATTGACTAAAAAGTGTTATAATATGCCAGAAACTTGGCACAACATGTTAAAGGGACACTATCAGTTTACTCCCACAGATATAGGTACATGTGAGAGATTTTAACAAGGATGGTTTGATTGAACAAAGCCATATCCTGATATTTAGTCCCCAGTATTGGTCTCACTTCTAAAACGCCGGATCCTACATTTCCCAAAATGCAACTACATACTGTCTTACATTACACTACTTTCCACTGACCTCAGAAATCATAGAATGACGTCACAACCCAACCGAGTTGACCACATTCTAATACAAGTTGGTAAACCAAGATGTTGTTAATGATACCAGTTCTAAATAGGTTAGCCATTGTTAGCCTGATAGAGACTGTGGTGAAATTTGAATGGATAACTAGAAGAGTAAACAGCCATAGACAGCTGATTAGGGGAAGCAGTGGGAGTGTGATGGAGAGAATTGTGAATGGATGAGCACAAAGAAAGTCTTCCTGATTGAACTTACACTGAGCTTCATTTGATAACAACCATAGACTGTAAAAAAATAATAGACGTAGCTACCGTGATGTCATCCATACGCTTGTGGACTCCTGTTTTGAAGCCTCAAGTTTGGCATTTCAACCGTTGCCATCCTGGTTTTTGTTTTTTCTTTTCTTTTTTGGAGCAGGAAGTGATGTTATGTGGTCGAGAGGATGGAGCTGTGGAGGAGTGAGGAGTGGATCTGACTCATAGACTGTAGCAACACTTTGCAGTCAGCCTGTCACTCAAAGCGGCACCACCCTTAAATATGTGTAACTTTAAGCCTTAATAAAATGTAATTGTGTGAATTGTATAAAAAAATCACTCCCTGTATTGTTGTTACGAATGTTGAAATGAGCTATAGAGACCAACACTGTTTTTTTGTAACAGGCTGCAAACATGTTTATTTCTGCTGTAAATTTGGGCATTTTAATATGGGGATCTATGGCAATTGACTCACTTCTGGCACCAGCCTCAAGTGGCCCATAAAGGAACTGAATTTTTTTTGCAGTCATGTGCCGGCTTCATTGTTTGGTCCCCGAGGTTGCCGCGCAATAACAACAAATTACGGTTTATTTTGCACATACAATCACCGTAGCAACATGGCCACAGATAGATAGACAATACTGTGTGCACAGCTTTTTTTAATGAGACACAAATATGACAGAGATGTTAATAAATATAACATTACTGCAATTTTTGCTACCGTTGATGCACTGAGCAGCCATATTGGATTCTAAGGTTGGCGTTGCAACTTCTAAGTCGGCAATCTGACTTCAGCAGGCGTTCCAGTTGATTTCCAAATGGGAACTCAGAAATTATAACTTCCCAGTGCAAGTGGAATGCACTGTTAGACCACCATCTGGTAAATGCCCATGCCTTGCAAACACAGAGTTGGTACAAAAGGCTTTCCATTAATGATTTCAGTTTTTCAAACACAAGCTGAGATAACCTTGATGACATCACAAGGGGTATTTTCTCACACTTGACAAATTTCCTCCAGGGCCACAGAAGACTTTATAAAAGTGGTTTTCCTGAGCGGCAGTCCTCCGGGCTAAAAAAAAAATGGAGCCAATGCAGAAGTGCCAAAAACTGCAGTTCCTCTAATGGCCACTTGAGGCTGGCTTCAAGAGTGAGTCAATCCCCATAGACCCGCATGTTAAAAGGCTCAACTTTGCAGCATCAATAAACATGTTTACAGCCTGGTATAAAAACATTTTTAGGCTATATAGTTGATTTCAACATTCATGACGACATATAACTCACCTGTTTACATGTTATTAAGGCTCAAAGTTGTGCATATTTAAGGGCAGAGCCACCTTAGTGACAGGCTGTTTGGGAGGCGTTGCTACAGTCTATGAGTCAGATCCACCCCTCACTCCTCCACACTTCCGACCTCCTATCCACATATGGTCACTTCTGGCCATGGCCAAAATGCTGAACTTGAGGCTTCAAGACGGAGTCCAGAAACCAATAGGTGATGTCACAGTAGCTACGTCAATTATTTTATACAGTCTGTGGGTTTCCAGGCTCAGCAGAACTCCCCATGACTAGGAAACTGATCTTCATAAAGTCGCTTATGTGTGGATAACCAGTATTTGTGTTATTGTCTCATTCTAATCATATGTCATCTTTTGCTCTCTAAAGTGCGCACACACACACACACACACACACACAAAAGAAAAAAAATCACAATATTGTGAAATTCCAACGGCCTCTTTAACCACACAGCCTGAGGGTAACAGACAGTTTGTCCACGTTCTTAGGGCTGGGGGGTCAGACTTGCTGGAGCAGGAATTGTCTCAACACTCAACCTTTATTCCACAGGAAGATACTTTTGCTTATGTATCAGAATCTGTCAGTGGTTTGATGAAATGGTTTCCTTTGGGATGCACTGCTGTCTTTCTTTCACTTCACTTACATTTTAGGTTTTACTTCAGTGTGAGAAAATGAAATGTCAGGGAAGCAGAACTTATGTCTACCTTGCAGCATTTTCTCTTTGCCTAACTTACTCTTAAGATTTAGTTTTGGTTCTCACAAGATACTTTCTCCTCTGGTCTGTAACAAAATACTCTCCTACTGTCTTTTTCCATTCTCCCATGTTAAGTGAATATCCTGAACATCACACATGCCCATCATAAGTGAAGACAGCAAACACCTGTTTCCTCTTTATCAGAAAACCTTACTTCTCACACAGGAAGTGAAAACTGTATAAAGGTGTAGGAGTGGCTGTAGCATGAAGTGTAGAAAAGCAGTTTTTAGAGAAATTCCAGTTGATTGACAAGATATTATTGTTCAGTGATTATGATAAAATAACAAAAATTACTGATTACCAACCTGTCTTTCTGATGTAGGTTTTCTAAGTTTGCTTTTCAAATAAATTCCTTATATGTGGTTGATCTTTGCTCTTTAATAGGATAATAAGTCACCATAACATCTTGTAACATTATAATGATGAATCAACTACAAGATTAACTTGCCAGTCCAGCTGACACCATATGCTGGAAAAGAAACACATGTTGTCAGCATAGTTTAACACAATAAATAATAAATAGTAGATACAGCTGTAAAAGTTTTCACATCTCTGTTTCTCCCTCAGACCTCAACCACCATCTATGTTCACATCGTGGATGAAAACGATAACGCCCCAGAGTTTCCTGAGGAGGAGTATGTTACAGTGTTGAGCGAGGGGCCAGACACAGTGGGTGCCACCATCGCTACTGTAACGGCCATCGACCCAGATGAGGGTCTGAATGGCACTTTGCGCTATGCTATCGCGCACGGAAACCTGATCCAGACCTTTCATATAAACAGCATCACTGTAAGACATGTAACCTGTTGTGCTGTAGTGTTACAGGTGCAGAAAAACATCTGTTAATCTTCTGCTTATGATGTGTTTGTGTGTGCGTTTAGGGGAGGATAACAGCTGTGAAGGAGCTGGACTACGAGATCAGCAACGGACACTATGCACTGGTTGTCACAGCTACGGACCAGTGTCCAAATCCTGCTCTTCGCTTGACATCTAGCACAACAGTAAATGTTTTTTTTTATACTTTGAACTAAAATGTTTAATATTTTAGAGCTAAAATGATTAGTCTATTAACTGAGTATTCGATCGACAGAAAATCAATTGTCAATTTTGCCTGGCGATCAATCATTCAGGTATTTATGAACAAAAATGGTCAAACATCTGCTGCTTCCAGCTCCTCTAATGAAATGATTTGCTGTTTTTATCTGTTTTATGTAGCTGTAACCTAAATAAATTTGACCTTTGGATCACTGGCCGGGCAATAAAAGCAATTTGAAGACATTACACTTTGACTTTGGAAACTGAAATGGCCATTTTCTGCTTTTTCTGACTATTTTCTAAGCATACAACTGGATAAATGAGACTTGGATGCTGCACGAGTTGCGTGAGAGTTTGTGAACAGATTTTTTGATATAGTTTTGCTGTTAAACGTGGACCACTTTTACTCCAGTTCGCAAAGAATTTTCTCTGTTTTTGGATTCTTTGTTCACTGGAGGTATGTGAGCAAAACAAAGATTCTTCATGAATTTAATTCAATGCGTAATTGATATACAAATGATCATTTGAGGGGGTAAAATATTTATGGGTGGAAATCCTTCTGTTACCTTCAAAAATGTGTTATGATTTAGAGGTAGCCACAAAGCTGAATGTGGCAAATCACATTACTGTGAACTTGGCCAGTTTTCGGTGTTCATTCTGTTTTTACCACGCATACTGTACATGTCACAGTCAGTCACATTCTTATAATGGATGTTTTAAAAACTCCCTCTTCCTTTCTTAGGTGCTGGTAAACGTCCTAGATGTGAACGATGTGACACCCACTTTCCCCAGAGCCTATGAGGGACCCTTCGAGGTGACGGAGGGCCAGCCAGGACCTCGAGTCTGGACTCTCAGAGCCAGTGATGAAGACTCTGGGCTCAACGGCAAAGTGGAGTACAGCATCACCGGTGGAGATAACCAGAGTTAGTATCAGATTGTTCTGTTAAGAGAGTGATATACAACAAAATCATAATGATACATCTCTGAGCCTCTCTGTCTCTCTGTCAGATGAGTTCATGGTTTCTCCAGTGGAGGGTGAGCTGCGGGTGAGGAAGGATGTAGAGCTGGACAGAGAGACAACAGCCTTCTATAACATAACTGTCACAGCGCGAGACCTGGGAACACCATCTCGCAACAGCTCGGTGGGGCCTCATTACACAAACACACACACACACGCAAGCAGGCACACACTCTCGTCATATCCTCTTAAACAATCAGGATCTTGCAAGCTCCAGTTCTGTGCTGTAATTTGG